ATGATGTGCATTTACGTTACATGCATTTTATGTAAAACACCTGCATAGATATACCTACCTATGAGTCCTACTAGTTTAGGTCGAGTAGCTGCTCTGCTCAGGATTTTTGGTAGTGTGAGTAACTTGCCGTTACTCACAATAGGTGATTATTATTATCACTTTTAGGATAAAATGGTTAAAGGAAAAATGGTGACCAGGCAGGGATATGGTATGGGTATTGGTGGGTGTAAGAGGTTGTGTCCCACAGCCAACGGGGCATAGCTTGGTTACACTATTTTTCCTATCTGTGTCAGTTAAGGACTGGCCGTTGCATTGTGTTCTAGGCAAGTCACAGACTTATTATCCCGAGCATATACTTGTTTATGGGAGCAGGGAAGGCTCGTTGCTCTCTTATCGTGGGTTTCGGCTCTTTCCGGACCGACTGATTGGAGGTGGGGAAGGTGGAGGTCTAAGAACCACAATGAGTCCGGTACTCAGGTGTGGGGGCTTGGAGTCCAAGTTTAGACGGGGACCTGGAGTCCTTGATAGGATAGTGGTGGGTTGGTCCTGCTTGTGCCTGGGGTACAAGCGGGGCGTGTGTGTTTTTTGGGTACCCAGCTAGGCACATTGATTCGTGAATCGCTGGGCAATCCGGTATGGCTTGTCTACGATCTAGTATCATAGTAAGAACTAAAAGATGAAGGATGTGAAATGGATATGTTTGCTTAACTCTTGCTTGAAAGTAGAACAGGTGCTTACATAGAATGGATAGATAATGAACTAATCCTAACTGCTAGTAATAAATATACATAAGGATTCACTACTAGTATTGTTTTCCACAAAAGACAACCCAGCAAACCAAAAAGCTTATCATACCCTTTGGAGTCGGGAAATTATTTCCACTAGTCGGGTAAGTCTTGCGAGTACATTGTGTACTCAAGGTTTATTTACCCCTGTTGCAGGTGCAGTTTGAAGATTTGCTGTTGTGTGGAGGATTCTTCTGGTGGGCATAGATGGATCCTTGTATTCTACCGCTAGATGTTATTTTATTCCGTTGTTCAAATTCCGCACACTGAACTCTGGTTTTATAATAATGTATTTCTAAGAACTCTAGTTGTATGAAATGGATTAAGTATTGTAAACTTGTTCTCATTATTGTATCCTGAAGGTAAAAACGTGGATTATTCGAGTTCTCCCTTAGGGTGTGCTCAACGGAACTACCCGAAGTAGCTCGCTTTTCAGGGCGCTTAGCGTCTGGTGGTAGACGAGTGCTTCTGAAGGTGTGTTATTTTGGGTGGTCCTGCCACATTTATTTTAGTATTATTGCTTTGCTTTACTTTAAGTACCTGTTCATCATTAGTGAGCTTAGGTGCTTATTGTTTGGCATTAGTAGCATATGTTATCTTATAATTAGTAGCTATTCGTTAGTATTGGTTTCACCATCTGGTTATGGTGCTTTGATCTCATTTCATCGGAACTCGGATCGAAGTAGCAAGTTTATTGATTAAGCGTGGTGCTTAGGCTATAGATTACCTGTGGATACGGCTAGGCCTCCGGATAGATTGTGGTAGGTGGCAAGTGGTGACAGCCTTATCCATCCTCTATATTCTACCATGATAGGTCTAGTTATTAAATCGTAGGGCTTGTGACAGACCTTGTCTATTTAACTCTCCTAGTTGGTAGGCGGGCTATGCCCCAAAGTACTAGCGTATTTCTCCTAGTCATTAGTTTACCCTTAGTTACTTGAAAGATAAATCGCTCGCTCTCCCATCTAGCTATCTCTAGTGTAGCTTGTTTAGTAGTTTAGTTTAGGTAGTTCACATTCATCTTTCACTATCGTTCATCTACCTAGGATACACTTAGGCTTTTCCTTAGCAATCCTAACCTAAATATAAATTCTAGCCTTCCGCCTTCTTGCGGGAAAAATATAAATTTGACACTCGATACTCACCGAGCGAAGTGCTACGCGATAGTTCTGTGCGCTTACGGAATTCCTCCAATAGATGTTAAGAAGTATCACTTGCTCCGTCACTAGGATTGGACTACCTTATCTAACTCACACACTTAGATCAAAAGTTAGTCCTAAGTTTCATCAATTATACAAAACCAAACTAAGGCTTTCAAGTATTATTGTTCTAAACACAACGTTTCGATACTTATAATTTTTAAGATTCTAGCTCATGCAGGAACACCGGTTCATACTAGTATAAGCAAAAGTACAATATACCTCTTGCACTATATAGGCGTTTAAAACCGAGGCTACATATAGTCCCTAATTTGTCCACAACACCAGAAATACAACATTAGTGAGTAAAAACGGTGATATGCAACAAATTGATATTTGGCTCTCAAGTTAAAGTAAACATCATATAAGGTTCATATGAAATTGAACTTAAATCCATTTCAAGGTTCCATTTTAAATGCAAAGAGAAATAGTTAAAAATCTGTACATGCACTACTATATTCGGACCTATCACACGCGGTTCGTGAAGCCCATCACAAACGCTTTTTGGTCTCGACAGTAAGCTATCGTTGGTGATGATATTCTCATCACATGCGGTTTGCCATCGACGGTGATACTAGCTTATCACAGTCGATTCGTATTACCAGCCGCGTGGTGATTTGAATTTTCAAAAATCTAAAAAATGGGCTAAAAATAGCAAAAAATTTTATTTCAATCTTAGGCCAGCTCCATGCTATTTTTTAGGTACGCGGTGGTGCTAGCATTCGAACCTAATACCTTTGTCCTTAACTCCTCTAACCACTATCTTCTAACCACTCCATACCTAAGTCACATGTTTCTATATAGCATATCCATTCCCCTATTATTCACTTTTCAGAATTTAAAATAAATATTTAGGATCCTAAACGTCTTCAGATAAAAAAGTCATAAATTACAAATTTTTTGTTCTAATCGAGATCTACAACTTTGATTTGGATTGTTTTGCCATCCGAGGTCATTTGATAAATTTGAATTTCAAAACAGCAAAACTTTAGCTAAACTTTTGGGACCTCAAATGATTTCAAATGAAAAACTCATCAACTACAAAGTTGTTTTTTTCATCGAGATCTACAACTTTGGTTTTGGTCGATTTTGTATCCGATGTTGTTTGAAAAATTTAGTTTTTTTTAAATTTTAAAACTTCATATACAAATTTGAGACTATAAATGATTTCTAATGAAATAGCTGTCAACTACAAAATTATATATCTCATCGATATCTACAACTTTGGTTTTGGTCGTTTTTCCATCTAGGGTCGTTTGTACAATTCAAAAAAAATAAATTTCAAAATTTGAGCGCTTCAAACAGAATTCTGTGACTGTAAATGGTTTCAAATGAAAAAGTCATCAACTATAAAGTTGTCGATTGTGTTGAGATCTACAACTTTGATATAAAACTTGTTTTCATCTGACTTTATTTGAAAAAGTTATGAGTTTATTTATACTGCAGCATGGTTATCACCGCCGTATCATACAACGAGCTGGTGGTAAAAATGTCTTCACCGCTGGTTCATTTGGCGAGGCGACGGTGATGAGGAGCACATCATCACCACCGGCTGGTGGTGCAAACCGGCTGTGACGATGGACTATCACCGTCGGTTGGTAAGACGGAGCGACGGCGATAGTTATCGCCCCGAACGTTCTTACGAACGGGCGGTGATACTCTCATCACCGACAATTCATATTACGAACCATTGGTGATAGCTATTACTATCGTTTTTAATGATACCACCGGTGATAGATGTGTCGGTGATAGGTCAATCTGATGGTTTCATTCACAGAGGCTTGAACCTATATATAGCAATATAAATTTACTACTCAAGTGAGTATATATAATTCAACTGTGGGGGTATGGACAAGCTACAGTTAGATGTCGCTGTGGCTACCGTCCCAATAGGCTAGGATCACGTGTGTAGAGTAGCAGTTTATATATAGTTGGTTGATTTGACACTAAATGTAATGTACTCCCTCGTTATCAAAATAACTGATGTTGTGAGTTTGTTCTAAGTTAAACCATTTCACGTTAAACCAAATTTATACAAAAAAAAATACCAATGTCTGTCATCACAAAATATATTTTCATGTTATAACTATTTAGTGTGATAAATATTAATATTACAAAAAATGGCTTTGCATAAAGGGCTCTGGCTTCAGCCGCAGAGCATGGGCGGAGGAGCTCCGCAGACGAGGCCTTACTAGAGCTGGGTATTTCTAGTTCTAGAGGTTGTTAGATGTGTAGCTGGAGACATATAAGAGGCCTGAGACAAATTGTTTGTATCAAAGTTATGATCAAATATAATAACTAAACCACTTTAATATATTCTATTATTATAGTAGTATAAATCTGTAGCTTAGATCTCTTAGAGTAGCTTCAACATGCTTGCTAAAATACGTTGTACACCCGGTGGCAAGCAAGAACGAACCAGCAAGCACCTGTTGCCTATCCGAGCACCCGGTGCTAAGAATGAAAAAAAAGGAGATACGTCAGAGCTGAGAAAACACCATGCGACAGTTGAGAAAGGTCTAGGACGAACAAAATTTTATCTGATGTGAGTCACATCTTAGTACGTGCTTTAAGTTGTTTATACATTGAAAACTCTTTTTTTTTACTGTATGTAAGAAAGCACCAGTTGACATGACAATGTTTGCAACTTGCTCGTAAATATACGTTGGAGATGCCCTTAGCTAAAGGCTAAAACGAGGGCAGCCGGACTCCCGGAGACGTCAGGGTGACGCCATGATAGCGTCTGCCGCCTTAACTACTTTATTAGCTTTTTGTTGAAACTAATGTGGCAAATCAAATCAAACTATGGAAGCCGCCGACGGTTAACAACTCTTAACTCAGAGAGCAGAGATGGCACGGCAGTCAGCCATCGACCACCGTCATCGTGGTCCAAGTCAAACCATCCATCCCTCGTGCCGTCCTGCGGCTGCGGCTGCTTCCTGCCGACGGCGACGCTGGCGGAGGAGATCAAGAAGGGCGCGTGGCGGAGACGCTGCCAGAGGAGGTGCTAGGGAAGATGGGCGCAGCGCCGGCGCGCGAGGACCACGTGGTCATCTCCCCACGCGACCTCACGGACGCCGACGGCGTGCTGCTGGGCTTTCCGACAAGGTTCGGTATGATGGCGGCGCAGATGAAGGCATTCCTGGACGCCACGGGCGGGCTGTGGCAGAGCCAGGCGCTGGCGGGGAAGCCCGCGGGCGTGTTCCTCTCCACAGGCACGCAGGGCGGCGGGCAGGAGACCACCGCGCTCACCGCCGTCACGCAGCTCACGCACCACGGCATGCTCTTCGTGCCTCTGGGGTATACCTTTGGCGCCGGCATGTTCGGCGTCGACGAGGTCAGGGGTGGCAGCCCCTACGGCGCGGGCACCTTCGCCGGCGCCGATGGCAGCAGGACGCCCTCCCAGGCAGAGCTCGCCATAGCCAGACACCAGGGCACCTTCTTTGCCGGCATCGCCAAGAAGCTCAAGGCCGGAGCCACGGCCCTCGCCGCCGAAGCCTCAGCGTCAGCTTGATGATACATCATTCGTCATGCCTACTCAGCCTGTCTTGATTTAATAAATAATTCCATACTTTAGTATTGATTCATGTTTATTTTATTGTATTTGCGACTGAGGTGGTATTTAAATCTAGAGGCTGAAGTTTACGAGACAAATTTATTAAGCCTAATTAACTCTTCATTAGCATATGTTTATTGTAGCATCACATTGTCAAATCATGGACTAATTAGACTTAAAAAAATCCATCTCACAAACTAGTCGCAATTTGTGTAATTAATTATTTTTAGTCTATATTTAATACTCCATATACGCGTCAAATATATGATATGATATGGACTAAACTTTAAAGGTAGCAACTAAACAAGACGTGAATAATATAGTACTACGTACGTACATGCTTGCTTTGTTCCTAAACATGATGTCATAAGTGGCTCCAAAGAGCAGAGGTCAAACAATTCGAAGGGAGTTTGTGTTATTTGTGTCTATATCTCTATTTTTACTTTCTACGCCTAAAAAGACTGTCTATCTGGTGATACCAAATTTCAATCCTTGCTCACATGTAATCATGTTCGATACAAATCCTCCTCCTCTCTGAGCTCATACGTCCTTATCTTACCCGGTTCCAATACGAAGATCGGATCCACGCCCACGTCCGATACAAAGTTCTCCGAGCTCACGTGTCTACATGCACTTGCCTCGCCTGTTGCGCCCACCCCGCATGCTGATAAGTCTGATCACATGTTGCACGTACCTGCCGCCCTGCCTCGCCTGTCCCGTATGCGACTACAACTATGCGCCTGCCTCCACATGGTGTTGCACGTACACACGCGCCCGTGCCTGCGGCTGCGCGCTTTGCTTCGCTTTCGTGTTGCACGCCCGTGCTCGTGCATGTAGGTGGGGACTACCCATGCCCGTGCCCCGCATGTTGCTGCGCCACTCGCTTCGCTTTTGTGCTGCGCGCTCGTGGACGCGCATGCAGGTGGGACCAGATCTACTTTTGCAATATCCAGATAGAACACATGCAACGTTTAGATGAAACATATGAAACATACATCTGAAACACATGAAACATACTGCGCATGCTAATGAAAACACTTGCAACATGAAGCACTTGTTGCAACATGCGTCTAAAATAGGTGAAACATTTGAAACATACTCTAGCAACATATGTGTACAACCACTGCAACATATGTAATATCTAGATAAAACACTTGCAACATACGTTTGAAAAGGATAAAACATCTGAAACATACACTTGCACCATACGTGTAAAGCCATTGCAACATATGCAACATGCTAATAAAACACTTGCAACATACATCTGAAACAAATAAAACATTTGAAACATACATTTGCAACGTATGTGTATATATCCAATGCAACATATGCAACATCCAGATAAAACACCTGCAACATCTAGATAAAAACATACATCTAAAATGCATGAAACATATGGAGCTCGATGTCATGGAGTGGCAAAAAAATTGGGCCAGCACTCAGCTGTCAATGGTCAACCATCATGGAAGCTGCAAATGACGCATGTAGATATGGCCCCGCGCTCCTCTCACAAACAGGCAAGTGCCTAGGTCGGCCCTACAACTGGCTAAGCCGGTCGGCCAAAGCAGCAACACGATAGACAGTATGCGGCAAGGTAGCTTGGCCTGGGCGTAGACAACACACAGAGAGAAAAGAGCAGGATGGCAAGTAGCAGCAGTTCTAGGCGCTAGACAACAGAGGACATGTGCGACAGGGAGGCCCGCGACCCTAGGTGTGTGTGGCTAGGGACCTGGCCAGCTTGTCCAGACAGCCGTGGATGTAGCAAGGAGCCAATCCTCTCTCTATGGTCACGCGCATGAACCTCAAATGAGAGGTCGCATAGGCTCCCATGGGATGCCACACAGAAAAGGACGGTGTGAGCCCGCCTGACTATAACTGTGCGCCTCTCTAGTATACGTGAAAAGACTATTGTTGGGGACCTAATACCGGGGTACCCAGTGAGGTGGAACTAATAGCCATCGAACGTTGACACTTCTGGTCAAACAAGAACGCTACTGCGCTTCTTGCCCGAACGACAGAAGATTGGTCCCGCCTCGCCCGACCCCCGAGGGCTAGACTCCGCCTCGCCCGATGGCTAAGGGTTGGCTCCGCCTAGCCTGATGTCCGAGGGCGGGCTCCGCCTCGCCCGACCCCCGAGGGCTAGACTCCGCCTCGCCCGATGTCCGAGGGCGGGCTCCGCCTCGCCCAACGGCTAAGGGCTAGACTTCGCCCCGCCCGACGCCCGAGGGCGGGATCTGCCTCGCTCGATGGCTGAGGGCTAGCCCCGCCTCGCCCAACATCTGAGGGCAGGCTCCGCCTCGCCCGACGACTGAGGGCTAGCTCAGCCTCGCCCGACAACTGCACCCTGATCCTTCATAAAGACGAGCATAGGGTACGACAGGACATTTGAGTCAACCGTCAGGATACGATGGGACGGGCGCTTTATGCCCTTTCCGACCTAACAGTGCCCGAACAGTGTTATAGGCGCCGACTTTTGTCCCACAGTGTTGTAGGCGCCACCATCAGCCCTCGGACGTGGATACTAACACAAGCATACGACAACCACTATGATCCAAGACATAATTCACATCACCTACAGTGACGGACGTAGGGTCACTTCCCCGTCTACTCCCCGAAGGGTCGTAGCTTGGCCCTCTGACACGCCGCACCATCCGCCAGCGTAGGATGGGACGCACCCACTTGCTGACAGAGGCCAGGGCATGGCCCTATAAGGATCAGCGAACATGCCATCCCTGACATGGTCTGCCATGTTAGCAGGGCAGGCACACGGGAAAAGGAAGACCCGGCTCCCCTAAAGGGCCTTCTCTACCTTTAGTTTTTTCCTCTTTCTCCCATCTGTAACCCCTGCTCCCCCTTGGTCTATAAAAGGGAGGGCAGAGCACCCCACTAAGGGGACCAACTTTTGACCGATCATTTTCGACACACAACACACAGCCAAGCAGCAACCGAGCTCTTGGCGTCCTTTCGACAATTCCATCAGAGACTTGGGACCTGTCCCTCTCTCGACCGTTTGTACCCCCTACTACGAACCTTTTTTGGTACTAATAACATGAGCAGCTGTAGACTGGACGTAGGGACGTTCTGCCCGAACGAGTATAAATCTTGTGTCCTTTAGTACACCATCCGAGCCTAACGCGCAACAATTATAAATTTACTAGCCGGTGCTTGTTTGAAACACCGACAGTTGGCATGCCAGGTAGGGGCCTTTGCGTGTTCCAAATCAAGCCTCGGATGGCTAACCACGCAATCAGCTGGGTCCCGGGCACACACGTGCACTTCGGTGACCTAGACTTCATCATCATGGTGGGGGGAGAGTTGGCGTTGGCTCAAGTCGCCATCCAGTCCCTCCCCTCCATCAGCTCCAGCTATGGGAGGCTTGAGCGCCAGCCCGGCATTTCCCTCAGACCCTAGCTGTCCAGGGAGGACCCGCGCCACCTCACCCTCTCTCCAGAACACTCCGCATGGAGCGCCTCTACGGCGCTTCCGTTCGGCCTTCGGAACACCGTGGCGACCATAAGCCACCTTCGGCATAGCATAGCGCGATCCCCCGAACGAACAACGAGTTCATGGGGATGATCGAAAGTGTCACGAAATCCCTCCATGGCCTTCTCACAGAGGGGCCGGGGTCGGACTCTAGCTCTGACTCTAGCAGAGGGAGCCATCACCCCTCCCAGGAATGTTTCATGGCGGAAACCCCCGAGGGACACGTCGAAAGCGTCTCCGCGGAGGAGACTACTCCCGCAGGCAACCTCAGCGGCGGAACCGAAGGGGGGACAACGGCCCCACCTCACGTAGGGGTGGAGCAGCTGAGAGCCCAAAAGCGGGAGATAGACAAAGCCGGACAACAGCTTGTTCGGGAGTACGTGGAGGTCGATCAGGAGATCGAACGCCGCGGAAACGGTGGGCGCGCGCATGCCGTGGCCTGTGACGTAAACCGAAGGATCATCGCTGATGATGAAACCCTTCCTCACTTCGCTTGGGCAAGCCAGAACATCGCCGCCACAACGGCCTTGCTTCATGGCCTTCTAGAGGCCGCAACGCCCGAGGATCGTCGGGCCCACCGTGAAATAAGCACACTGCTCGAGCATGCGGCGGCGTAGCAGGCGGAAAGCTCATTGTCCCGGCGACACAAGCTCAACACCAGCCAGCGTACGCCCTCAGTGCGTCCTGCCAGGGACACATCACTCCACCAAGCACCACAAGATGACAGGCAGCGCGCTGCGGCCCAGATACATCAGTGTCTTGGCCGCAACCGCGATGCACGCAGCACCATCAACGCCCGCAGGCACACCTACAGCGACCTAAGGGAAGGAGCTCGCCGCGGCTATCATCTTCGATGCGGCGGACGCTACGACAGCGGCGAGGACCGAAGCCCGAGCCCTGGCCTGCCAGGGCCTCAGGCCTTCAGCCGGCACATCCTCAACGTTGTGTTCCCACCAAGGTATCAATCACCTACCAATATCCCTAAATACTCTAGGGAGACAAACCTCGGACTTTGGCTTGAAGACTATCGGCTTGCCTATCAAGCCGGTGGTGCGGATAATGACGACTTCATTTTTCGCAACCTCCCACTGTTCTTAGTCAATTCGGCACGAGCGTGGTTGGAACACCTGCCGCCCAACGCAATCCAGAGTTGGGCGAATCTAAAGGAGATCTTTGTGGGAAACTTATAGGGCACGTACAAGCGCCCTAGGAACCCGTGGAACCTCAAGAACTGCCGTTAGAAGGCCGGTGAGACCCTCCACGGGTACATCCGACGCTTCTCCTGATAGTGCAACGAGCTCCCTAACGTCGCCGATGCCGACGTGATAGGAGCCTTCCTGTCCGGAACGACTTGCGAGTCCTTGGTTCATAAGCTAGGGCACAAGGGCCTGTGAACCACCAAGGAACTCCTAGACATCACCACCAGCCACGCCTCAGGAGAGGAGGCAGTCGGAGCGATCTTCGATCGCTTCAAG